GAACGAATGGCTGCAAAAATTGATGGAGTTAGCAGAGATGGCTAAATGGACTATTTTGATAAAAGGGAAAAAAAAGTATTTTTGTTTCTACTTGGAAACCGCTTCTGGACTTTGTGCCTGAGGTGGAAAAAAACAAAACTTTGATTTTGGGTTTTACCGATTAGATACATTTGTTGATATAGAAATGGATAGTTTATACTACTATGTAAAGTAAAAAGTTGAGGTTTGATGTTACTATCTTATTTTACTGCACCAAAGGGAGTCAGGAGTCAACACCTTTTCTTTCTTTTTCCCTTCTTTTCTGGACTCAAAGCCCTATTGGGAAATTACACAGGGATATCCAATGATGGCAGTGGTCCTAAATTTCATACAACAGTGAACAATGCCTGATTATCTTGTAGTGCTTGCCACACCGTACTGCCTTCTGCATTTTCATTTTGTAATGAATTTTATGCACTCGTTTAGATTTTTTTTTTTTTTTTTTGCAAAAGAAAGGAGGATCCCTGAGTACCATAAGCAAACATGCAATGAATTGTAGGCAGTTCCCCTGATGGAGCACTGCATTTGTGCCAAAAATCTACACCTGGTGTTCAATATTTAGAACAATCTAAGGCACGGGTGTCAAACTCGCCACGTCACATGACGTGTTGTGACATATCACAACTCTTTTTGCATTGCCGGCAATGGGGTGGGCGTGGCTTCAGCATGATGAAACCGGCCCACCCCTGGCAAGGAGAACAATAAAGGAGGAGCTTCAAAAATTCAAACAAATTCTTAAAACAACATGCAGTGAAGAGTGACAATGACCGTGTGAGTTTGGCAATGTATTTTTGCTGTTTACATATTATGAGCCAATTAGTGATTAAAGAGCTAGAATAAGACTGGAGAAACATTTGTTCTTTCTGAGCCCAACCCACTCCAGAAGATGGTGGTTGTAGAAATTGGAAGGGAGAGAGTTAGCAATACCACCTTCTGCTCCTGGCAGAAAGATGAGATAGTAATCCAATAAATAAGGCATGTTAGGGATTATGAGATCATGGAATGTGGATTGATGTAATTAAAGTGACATGATTAAAAATTAAATAGTTTTGAATTGTTAGCTGGAAAACGATATTTGTTAACTTTCTGGGCTATAATTTTCTGTTAACTAGCTTGGAAACAGCTACTAACCTTTCTAATCTAAGAAATAAAACATAAATCTGAACCAAAGTTTGAGCATGGTGAAGTGATTTAGTGTTTGGAAATAATGAGGTTCTAGTCTCCTGCTACTGGAAGCCACAGAGATGATCTTGAATAAATTATTCTGAGATGGTTTTAGTTATCTTGAAGGGTCTGTTTCCTGATTTGCTAAATCTCAAATGACTGACTTTTGTAACCACAGAAGCTCTCTTGAGTGATTTTGGGCCAATCATAATCACTTAGACCACCAAGATTATTTCACAGATTTGTTTCTTGGGGAAAAGAAATCCCCTTTGCTTTGAAGCTACCTTTATGTGAAAAGTCAATAGTTTCTCTCAGCTGTAGATAGCTAACACATTTAGCTGTGTTTATTTTAATTTTGGTTTAATCAATTAACCCAATTTCCACAGTACAATGAAATCTAAACTGATCAGATAGCATTCACAACACTATAGGCATAGTTTGTTAGTGAATATAGACATAGTCCTTTTTATGTGTGTTTTCAATGTAAAGCACATAAACCCTGTTACTAGCCAGGATTGGATAAAGGGCAATCCCCAGGATCACTTTCCACCAAAATATTATTCTCTTTAGCCATATGCTCCCTATTTCCATTTCCAGTGGCAAATACCCTGTAACAATAAGGCACCCTAAGAACAAGAATTTGAAGTTCCACTCTGTGGTTCTTCTTATCAACTCCCATAATTCCCAGCCAACATAACCAGCAGTGGCATACAGTAGATAGATCCAGAGTATCAGTTCCCCTTTAACTAAATAACAGTGGAAATAGTAAGTCTCTCTATAGCTGAGTTTGATTCTTGATGACATCAGGGACATGTCTCTACATATACCTATATTGGAAAGCAGTAAGGAAGTAGTTTGCTACTTTCTCTATCACTAGTGTACCTTTTAACTTTAACAGTAAAAGTAACCTGCGTATGGAAAGAACAAGCATTTTTTTTAAAAAAAGCTATTAAATATGTTATGTTATTAAGGGGAATTTGTGGAATTATTTTACTTTCTGTATGGAAGCCAATGAATGTCACATCCTATTAAATGTCCATACATAGTTTTGTTTTGACATCTGCTTACTCTACATTGATGCCTTAGACCAGTGGTTCTCAACCTGTGGGTCGGGACCCCATTTGGGGTCGAACGACCATTTCACGGGGGTTGCCAAACAACGCAGTCTGCCATTTTTTCCCCCTTTCCCTTAGCTGTGCTACTCCCAAAATTTTATTCTATTGGCTTTTGAAAGCCAATAGAATAGACTCTCTTGAATAGAGTCTAATTCTATTGGCTTTCAAAAGCCAATAGGAATTGTCCAGGCTGTCTCTGCCCTGCTGAGCCCGCCAAAAGTCCCATTCTGCAAACGGTGCTGCACCAGTTGAGTAGTCCTTGACTTACGACCGGTTGAGTAGTCCTCGACTTATGACTGGTTGGGGGTCGCGGCATTAAAAAGGTTGAGAACCACTGCCTTAGACTGACCAGTTACATAAAATTTATTTTTTGGCTCTTGATAGTTGTTGTTGTTGATAGTACAGCTCCCGTTTTTAGGATTATGACATATAAAATGGCAATTGCTAAGATATTTAATCTCCTTAAGAATTTTTCAAGCAATGGGTTAACTTATAATAGTTTCCATTGATATATAAAGCTTTCTATTTGATAAAAAATTCTGGTTAAAAATTAAATTCTTATTCAATATATAAGTGACTGGTATAACTAGTTCACAGATCATTAGATGTACCATCCTGAAAACATTTTTTTAATATAACCAAGTCATATGTTTATGAGGAGCTCATTGTTTTTCCATTCATTTCTTTGCAGTTCTCCTTTAAAAAAAAATGCAACTTTATCTGATACTACTGCTGTGTCTGAAAGATTAGTCCTTAGGAGGGTTATGGAAATTTAGACTACCGTGTTGTATTATTGATATAATCCACCATATATGAACAGAAGACATTAGCTTGGATATTCAATTGTCACCTGCAATTTAAATATGCTCCTTAATCCAATGGAGACTTTCCATTGCAGAAAGAGGGAAATCATTTCCATCAACCCCTGCCCTGTACTGAAGCTCCGCTAAAACAATTCCAAGTCCAGAATGTGTCCCAAAGATTTTCAGGACAGAGCAAAAGGAAGAACTGAGCAAAGCTCTTTTCTTAAATCCAATTCCTGCTGATTTGAGCATTCTATGTGCAAAATGCTACTTATAAGAGGCCTACATCAGCAGCCAGGAACTCAGCACTTTACAAGAAGATGATTCCCTCATCATTATCACAGCAGCAGAGAAAAAGCAGAGCTATTGCAATACTAGAAGCTCCTGATTATATTAGGAAGATCAATAGACAGTTTTGGACCTGTTCCTGCCAGCACTCACCACCAACTTGATCCTGTGAGGACTGCTCACAACCAGTCTTTGTAAAATACCTATCCCATGGTGTAGCATTTAAATCCCATCTGCTGGCTCACTATGAAGAGGGGAAAGGATATTACATATCTGAAGGAAAAAAAGAACAGACTTTTCAAAGGCTTGTTAGCATCTAAGTTTAAGCTAATCCATTTATATTAAATAAGAAAGTAAGTTGTTTCATATGTATCTAGTTATGTACCATTCTACCACAAAACTTAGAAATCAAATACTTACCTCACTACAGACTTCACCCTACATTACAATTTTTTCTTCAACATCACCACAGTTCTACCTTCTTCACTACTCTGAACATCAATATAATCTGATTACATATCAAGAGGGCATATCATTTGGTATCTGAAGGGATCCCACACAAACTAATTGCTTTATTTTTAGAGGTTTTTAGAGGTATAAAGTACTATTAGATGGTATTAGTTTGTATTTGCGATTTTAACTCTAGTTCAGGGGTATCAAACTGCCGGCCTGCGGGCTGGTTGCATCATGCAAAGGCCATGCCCACCCCAGCTCCGGCAATGCAAAAAAAAAGTTGCGATATATCGCAACACATCACGTGACGCGGCGAGTTTGACACCAGTGCTCTAGTTGATCTTTGAAAATTATGGATTGGCCTGAATAATTGAATACAATTTACAGAGCTATAAATACTATACAATATCATAAAATGGAGGAATGAATGGGTATTCTGCTGAAGTCCTGGTGTTACAGGTATATTTCATTTCTAGTCAACCAAAGTCAAGCCTCCTTTAAGTCCAGCTAAACTTCTGGTGGCTTTGCAGACACATCCATACACTCATCTTGACAAGAGTATGGAAGTCATTTGTTCTCGTCTTCTTCCAAGATGTTTTGCTTAGTCTTCCCAGTCTAGCCTAGGTTTCCTATTCTCATACTTTTTAATGCTGCTCCTGCTTAGTTTTCAAATAGGTCAAGCTCAGGGAGATGTTAATGACTGTGAAGGAAAGATCCAGGGACAAAAAGATTTAGTGTGGAAAGGCAGAGCACATCACACCAGAAATGTACACTAGAGCAAAGAGAGCTGTCTCATAGCTCACCACAGCAGCAGTCTCTCTCAAAGGATCAGCTATTTGGAATACACCTTTCTTGACCCAAACAATCCTATGGCAGAAAGCTTGACGGTTTCAATATGGGTCCCAGATTTGTATCATCATCCAGTGAGCTAATTCTGGGTCATCCTTTGTGAAAAGGATGCCACATAAGCAGTTCCAATTCCAGATCCAGTATGCATGCTGCACTCCCTGTTGTTAGTTCCAATAGTGCAAGTGGAACTGAATCTAGGTCAAGTTCTGAATTACATATTCCATAAAATAAAAGCTTTTTTTGCCTGGAAACGGTTGGGACTGGTCAGTCACCTGGTGGCTCAAAGGGATTTCTTTTCTTTTTTGTTTTTTAATCTTGCACAGGCAGCAAGATTATGTGATGCATTTACTGTAATGATCATTTTTTTCTGGGTTGCATAGAAACATTTTCTTTTTGAGGGGGAAACTGCTAGTCTTTATCTCCTTCTCAATCTTTTCTGGCAGTGAGATATTTTTATGGCAAATGGTAACATTTGGTACATGATTCATATAAGACTGGTTTTTAGAGGACTCTTCTACAAGAAGAGCTCTTGTTCTAAATTTTAGAGAGCTAGCCATACTCATCTCTCGATTATGTGACATTTATAATATAAATTTATAATATAAATTTATAAATGTATGTTATTCCACTCACCCCCACCTCCCTTTTTCTTTTCTTTCCTAATGATACCCTGAATATTTTCTAGCTATTAAATGTTAATATGTGCAATATTTAGATTGGATCTCTAAAATATACTTCAAACTATACAGGGGTATGAACAAGGCAAGAATATGCCAAGTATGCTTTACTTTAAAACAGTTTCGCAATCTCAGCATCTTTAAGACATGTGGACTTCAATTCTCAGAATTCCCCAGTCAGATGAGGAATTCTGGGAGTTGGAGTCCAAATACTTTAAAGTTGCTGAGTTGAGAAATACTGCTTTAAAACATTGATCCAGGGTAAAGAGGTAGCTGCTTTGAATTGCAGACAGGCACAAAGTTTACACTCCCATATGCTCCAAAATGTCTTTCAGAGATCACAGCTGAAGCACTACACAATCCTTGCAACTATATTTCTAAATCTTAAGTATCTCTACGGGCACCAAATGAAAGAATTATGTTCCAAGGAGGATTCCTTCTGTAAAACAAGATCTATGTGACAGAATAGTGAAACAGCAAAACTAGTTATGCCCTGTTTGTCTATCTGACATGCATTGGGTGGGCAGTGCAGGACCAGGAACATTCCCAGAATAAAAATCTTTGTTTTTTTCTGCCAGTTACTAGGACAGAACATAAAAGAGGTAAACAAATCAATGAAGACAAAAAAAAGGGTGAATGTACAAATAAAAATATTTTTTTTTTAAAAAAACCTTGCATACCATGTCCCAATAGAACCTTTTATAACCTACGATGTATCATCAGACTGCACACAGATTCACTGCCTGTTCAGCTTAAGGACTAAGGCATCACTTCCTCCACCTTCCAACATTTGAGCTCCTGACAAGGAAACATCTTTATCAATATAAATGAGGGCCTCTGAGCTTTCCATTAAAAAGGATAAACTCTGACCCACCCACCCTAGATCCAGGCACACAGTATTATAGACAAAAGTCTTAACCTGAAAACTACCAGGGGGCTGCTTACAATCTCCTCATTAGGATAAATAGCTAATGCTCTTCTTCACCTTTTTGGCCCTGAAACTACTACGGTAGCTGCAAGGCAAGCTACTTGCTCTTTGTTCATGAAGACTTCTGAGAAAGAATTGTATTCATGCATCAGCCTGACACAATTTGGGAGCAAAGTAGGTCACTGCAACCTCCAGAGAAGCACACTATTAAAAAAAACACTATGGGTTATAAAGATCCATTGCCAAAAGTAGCTAACAGGAAGGAAATCTGTCTTTGCATATTCTACTAATTTGCAGTACAGGGGAATTAATGGTAGGAATATTTATCTGAACAGCTGGAATCTAAAGTAATAGTGTGAAGTGTTCTTAAAAATAAAATAATCTCTTATCAGCAATGGAAAATGAAAAGATGTTGTCTATTTATGGTAAAAGCTGTCATTAGATATTATATCTCTACACATGGGCATTTCAATGTTTACTTCTCAAGCAAAAAAAAAAAAAATAGAACAGACTTGAAACTGAAAATAAAATGACTAGGCAGAATGACTAGCTATAACCCAAAAGTTATAGATACTATATCTGCACCCATTTTTGTTTTCATGACATCTTCAACCAAGTTTATCCTAGAAGAAAATTTCTGTAGGGCTCAGAAATTTATGATTGGTTTGCCACAGGCTTTCCACCCAGACAGGTTCACGTGCCACAAAGCATTCAGTTAACTGACAAGCTCACTAACCTTTTGAAAATGTGCAACCAAGCAAAAAAACAAAACAAAACAGACAAGGGTATGGATGCAAAAATGCAGAATGTCTGACTGGATTAAAAAAAAAAAACACCTTAACATTTCCCATAAACACACAAGTTCTAATATAATGCCCTTTTTTGACCTTGTTTCTCTTAACACAAATAGTATTGTGATTGCATGACTTGTGATACTGCTTAGCATATAAAAGAGTGTAAATTCATACTTAAAATAAATGAATCTATGCCTCTATACTACAGTGCCATCTCTTACTGGAAATGGAAAAAAATTCAAATGTATCCTTTATGACAGTGTTTATCAACCTCAGCAATTTTAAGATGTATGGACTTTGACTCTCAGAATTCTGGGAATTGAAGACCACAGATCTTAAAGTTGCTGAGATTAATAAATGCTGCTTTGTAATGACGGTCTCACCTGTACCTACCCCAATAACTTTTTGAAACTGAAAGATTATCGAAACACTTAATGACCTCTCTTTTGAAACAGCTTTATCTTGTTCCATATCATACATCATTTTTATTATACCTACCTTTCTAACTTTTCTAAAATATATTATGCTGGTATATTTGAAGTAAAATATATGAATAGCTTTCAGAATCGAGAAATTACAGTCTGAGAAATCTAAACGTGTATTGCAGTCTTTCTATAATACACAATGGAATGTAGTGTTGGATCCTGATTCAATCAGTTCAGTCAGACTTAAGCATGGTTGGCTGAATAAGCTACACCATTGTTCAGTTACAATGCTAGGCCATAAACCATACACTCTAAAAATAGACCCAAATTTCCACAGGTTTCAGCAACATCAACACTAGCAGAAGAATTCTCAGAATTTGTATCCAAACATCAGGAAAGCATCCAAATTAGGAAGAACTGCCATAAAGTAGAGTTTACAAACCATAATGACTAGGCTGACAGAACAGGCTATATTGCATTCATAGCAATAGCACTTAGACTTATATACTACTTCATAGTGCTTTACAGCAGTGTCTGAGCAGTCTACAAATTTCAGCATATTGTTTCCAATAATCTGGATCCTCATTTTACTATGCAAGGAAGGAAGGCTAAGCCAACCTTGAGCTGGTCAGGATCAAAGTCCTGGCTGTGGGCAGAGTTAGCCTGCAGTACTGACTTCTAATGACTGCACTACTAGGGCTCCTCTTATGGTTTGTTTGGTTTCAGCTTTCAACATAGAAAGCATTACCTTCTTGAAGAACAGAAAGAGAATTTACCCAAGCAATGGGGCGTCGTAGTATAGCATTGAATGAATATCTCTGGCTTTCTGATCTTAAACATACTTCCTTCAGAAGGCAATATTTTGCATGCACCAGAATTAATTTCTAGCTTGTGTAGACTAATCTTGCTTAACATATTATAGACATATTTGTAACCATGCTGCTTAAAATCTTGATCAAAACACCATTGAACTGGCATGCACACATGATCTTTTCTGCAGATTTCCCCAATGTAATGTGCTCCAAATTTTATATTTCTCTGGGTACACTTAAATTATTATACTTCTCCTGTATAGTATCAAGTCTATATAAATTTTATAGATAAATAAATGAGACTTAAATTACACATTATGTAATTTAAAGAACAAGCTTACAAAATCTATTTTTACTTTGTTTCTAAAACTCAGTGCTATCCAATGTGAGTCTGAGAGAACTCATTTTTGCTTCTATGGCTAATTTCCATATGGCCAAATGACTCCTTAGCTTATGATGCTTGCATTAGTAGTTTTTCTGTAAAAAAAAATAATTGTGTCTTCTGGATTATATCAGGGTTTAATCCAGGTCAGGGCTCCAGACAGCTATTTTTCTTCAACATAAAAAAGCCAATTTAAAAAGTCCTTAAGTCTTCTTTTCTTACCCTACAGTTTGTAGAAACCATTTCAGTCTCCCTGAAAGTTGGGTTCAGTAATATTAAGATTGCAACTTTCAAAAGTTCAGATAACATGACATTCCTAGAACTGGAAGTAGCAGAGCTGGGAAAGGCTTTGGGTTATGCAAGACCAGGCATGTGAAACTTGTTATTCTCCTTTTAATGTTGTAATCCAACTCAGTCAGGCCCAGTCAATGACAAGTATAACTCCCGGAGAAGATGATTAGATTAGGTAGTGGAATCATACAAGTTGAAAGAGATTATTTAGACCAATAAGACCAATTTGCTGCTCAATGGGCAAAGGAATGGGTTACATGAACAGAAGAGTGCTGTTAATCAGCTGTTTTTGTATATCCTGTTCTCTTTTGCTCCAAAATGAAAGCAATAGGGAAAATTTAAACAATACTTTGATAAAAAGCATTTAAGCAACCAAGTAATCATTTATTAATTGGAAAAAAACCAAAAATAATTAGAGAAGGAAGTTTTATTTGCAGACTGGAGGACAGCATTGTAAACAATGAGGACCTTCAAAAATTATATACAGCAATTGCAATTTCACAAGTTTTTCTTTTAAAAAAGATGGACAAATAAATATTTACAGAAAAGTGTACAGGATATGTCTTGGAAATCAATTGTATGTGAACACAAAAGCTCTTCAGTATGGATGCAATCTTTTTATCTAATGGAATATTTATATAAAATGGCAGCATAATTGTAATTTATGAGTTGTAATTGATATAATTTTAGGAGTCTTTTTCCTCACCTATTGATCCTAACCGGAATTTCATTATTTTTAGTGTGCAATATCCTGGGACATTAACTTCTCATATTGGATTCCATGACTAGAATGTATATAGTGCTTCTTCTGGGCTAGATTCTGCATTGCCCTAATATCTAGCCCCTGAGAGACAACAGGATGTGCAAAATTTACAGCACCACTGCCATGCAACTTTAATTTACTTAATTGTGGATTCATATTCCTGGACTCCTGAAAAAGGCTAAAAGAATTACATAGTGATGGTGCATCATCAAATGATTGCTCCCAGAATTTCAGAGAATAGATGTCACATTTATACCCTAAAAGAATATATGACATTAAATGTTCAATTTAATGGTCTAATGTGAGGAATGAGGGTCTGTTAGACCTGAATGTCTGTTAGTTGGCTAATAGGATTTGATGCATATATATATAAATATATAAGGAATTGTGCATGCATACAGTGGCGACTGAGGTTTTAGAAATGCATATAATGTTTTTTTACCTGTATTTTATGGCAAATAGATTTTATCCAAGAATTACTGTATTTAACTACACACCAGATTAAACATTTCTATGCATGCCTATTAGGGAATAAGTCCCACTGAAACTCTGCAAAACCTGCTTCCAGGCAAGCACGCATACAATTGTTTTGCATCATACAATTCTAAGATATTGCTGGTCCACACACACAATGGATTTTTTTTTACATCATCTGGCATAATTAATTTTGAAGGGAACTTTTTCCAGACCTCTTCCAGGATCATTTATTGCTCCATTATTTACATGCACCTCCAAGCAAAATGATTAGAACAATCTTATTCCCGTGTTACTTTCTAACAGGAAGTCTCTCTGACACATAACTTTATAAGCACCAATTGTCCATGGATCATACCTTGGTCCTAAAAAAAACTTTAGTAGAGAACAGCTATGGTCTGTGACCATTTTATAATTTATAGAAAAAGAAAATTAATATTCTACATGACCCCAAATGTTCTTTCAAATGTTTCATATAATACTATTAGAGGTATAGGCTTTTCTCCAAATATACTATTCCAGTAATTAAATATTAAGTTGTTCACGTTTTGTTAGCATGAGGTGAAAATGTTACAGAAAACAGCATTTTTTCCCTTAAAAACACCTAGCTTCAGTAGCATTATTGCTAATGTCTACATTTTTGTTATTCTATGGTTTAAACATCTGTCCAGAATTCAGCATTTGATTTTCAAAATATTTTGTTTAGAGTAGGGTTTTTGTCTAATTTAGTATAGCTAAGTAGGAAATATTAGTAGACATTCAAAATAATTCAGAATAATTTAAACTTACCACATCCATATTGAAAAACGAAAACCCAAGCATGGTCTATGAATGGCATATTTAAAGTTTAAGAGAGAGCAACGTTTATCTTTATTTTCATAACTTTAAAAAATTATCCTGCAAGTAAACAGCCTTTATCTTGCATTAAGCGCTTTGCAAAAGTCCCACCTTCACAAAAAGAGCCTTTAAATGCTGAAGTAAAATCAATTTTAAACAAAAATACTGTGCAATGTCAGCACTACTTTTCTCTCTTAAATATTGAAATAAATAAAATAACTTGTTCTAGTTTATGTCAAGTTTTTCCCCCCCATTAGTTTGTTGTTTTCAGTCATTTCTGCTGCTGAACAGTTCCAGTTTGACCTGGATATACACGCATACACACACACACAAACTCGCACAACACTTTAAAGATATTTTTCTTTTTTAAAAAAAATGTAAGGTTTTTTTTGTATTGCACAAGCTTAGGGAACCCCCAAAACTTCTCTGAGCAAGTGCCAGCAGGCATTCCATAGTCCAAAGTCCCGTGTGGGAACAAGACACAGGTGAGACAGGATCAGGCAATTGAGAAAGATCAGAGCATTTTGAACACTCTTAGTTGATTGATTTCTTCCATAGATTCCATGAAGGATTCAGATTCCAAGTAAGCACAGGGGTGTTATCTGCAGAAGAAAAGCAAAGAAAGAAAAAAACTCAAAGATATTTCAAACAGCAAACAGATTTTCTTTTTAAAAAATAGCAATAACTGGTATAACAAGAAATCCCATCTCCAAGTTTGGATGAGCCAAAACACGCTAAGTCTTTCTTTGGAACCTGCTTTGTGTCACTGCATAACCTCACAGCTCTGGAGTAATCAAGATATAAGTCTGTCATTACTGAGTAGGGCCAGCTTCCAGACGAAACATATTTTTTTTAAAAAAAAATCTCAACCATCTTTTCCCTATGTTTTTCACTTCTGTTCTTCCAGACAAGTGGCTCCATTTATGGTATATGATTAAAAACCCATGATTTAGTAATTGTATTTACTTCACACATGTAAAGCAATAATAGTCAGGGACCATGACACTTGAAACATTTTAGATTTTCAATGCAAATACAATGAACCTACATTAATAAGAGCAGAATCATGGCAATGCATTGGTCCAGCACTCGGTTGCAGAATCTCCTCCCTCCAAAGTGTTATTTAATGTACCTCTATTACTCTAAACTAGTTGTGCAGATACATGAATTTAGCTAGTACATATGTCACAATAACACTCAGGGTGGAGAAAATCTGCTGGAATTCTGGCTTCTGCCAAACTTTTAAAAAGATACAAGTACTCTCTACTATATATAACATGTCATCACCCTTCTAGAAGTATGGATGAAATCCAGGACTTCGCTACAAGAACTGACACTGTAAATTCATGATACAGTAGTTTAAAGCTAAGTAGAATTATGTGACAAGTCTAAGAATAGTAGACCATATAAGGGAATGATAGCTGCCTGTTTTAATGCTAGAAGTAAATGAAAAAGTTTCAGTTTATTCTTCACCTAAACCATCTCCTAGAGGATTTAGTTGACATACCAATCCTTCAGCCTCTGAGCTGCTAAAAATAGCGACAATGATAATTTTTACAAAAGTGTACCACCATAGTCACCAACCTCTTTAAGACTTGATAAATTTTTAGAAAGATTTATTACACGAATGTTTATATTATACCTGAATCAAATTCAGAATTTTTATAAATTAACAGATTGCTGCTAAAAATCAGGCCAAGCAACCCTATACTGCTTATTATGAATGCATTTGATTTGTGCATTTTCTTACTCAGTTTCTGATTTTAATAATGATTTTTTAAAAGATGCATGGTGATAAGAAATCTGTGATTGTGACAAATGAGTGGTGCCTATCAATAAAATATATAATAGAGATACATTTGATTCCTTTATCTAACCATTCCATTCTTTCTCCACTCTCTGGCAACTAGCTTTTTATGCCATTTAAACATGGTCAGTTCTCAATGGTCTGTTGTCATTCTCTATTGACTATAGACAATGAGACCATTCACTAGTCACTGAATTATTATATATTCTTATATATAAACACTGTTAACAATATGTTCTGTCCCTACCTTATGAGATGTTGTGCTACTCAGTTTGATTAATTTTTTTTCTTTTTCTGTTAAGTGCACATTTCCTTTTATTTAAGAGTTGAGTACCATCATACTATTACCTTGGGGAAAGATCCTCCAAGTGCTCATACCATCCAGATTCTGATGAAGATAAAATGGTGTTCTGCAATCAGATCACATTGTTTAGATCTGTCAATATGTGGCAGCTTTAAAATCATGGGCCAGTTCTTTGAAGGCCATAGATATAGATTGAAAAGAAGATTCCCTTGTTTAACATAGTGAATAAACCATAATAATTTAGTGAAGATTAATTTCATTGTTGTAATGTTATATGGGAATGACCTTGGGAGCAGGCAACAGATGCTGCCTGGGGAAGCCCGGAGCAGTATAATGGACGGAGAAAAAACTCAGAAAGGAGCCTTCCTAACTTCTCAGGCTGTAAAAGAGAGGGCAGGAGATTTCTGCTATCAAGACTGGCAAAATTTAGTCAGACAGTCTGATCTGGTCTATTGGGGAGGCTGACAATTGTTTTGTACCTTAAGTAGGGGATTACAACTATACGGTAGGGTTATCATACAAATACGCCCTCTTTCCCCCCTGGCTATAATCCATTCAGATGAAAGAATTGTGGCCATAAGAAAGTCCTTTCAAATATATCTGTTCAATCATTAGAATTTGGAAAATTTATTGAAGAGCAACTAGTTTTGGAGAATGCATGTCAATTACAAATTATCATATTGTGCAAAATTCCATGAATATTTAGTTATACAAACTGTTTTAAGCCTAAAATTGGGGAAGTAATATTGAAGTTCTAATGTTAAAAAATAGGATTTTTACTTTCCTTCTGTACAATTCATAATCTGCTATACAGAATTCTCTAAAACTTTTTATTCTGTCTTCCTTCAAGTAAATCTTTATTTATAAAGAGAACTTTCACTTTAAACCTGATTTTAGTATTTTCACGATCAATGACAACATTAGTAACAGAACAGAATAGGGTGTATCATACAGTTTACTGTACAATAGAACAGCCAGACTGTGAATGTTATAGTAACAAAGCAAATTATAGGATTAATTCAAATTTTGGACAACAGATTTTGTTTTTGTTTCTGACCACGACAATGATAAAAATAATTTTCCAGATTATAATTTGACAGCAGGCACAGAAGGCATTTATCACAGATGGTGTCCCTTGCACAGGCTGTGCTTATTAGCTATCTGATCTGCTTCAGGCATTAGCAGGGATGATTTGCTCCATCTCTGAAACATGCAGTAAATTGAAAAAATAGCAAATTTGAGCAACCACTAATATTGAACAATACCTATGGGTGTCTGCTGGGGGAAAGGAGGTTAAGGGTGAAATAAACCAATATGCTATTATGTGTGTATCCTGCATTTAAGTATTTTCATGAGTTTGGGATTACATCTGAGATGATTTCAGATACTAATTTTTATCAAATCTAATTTGTAAACTTTACTAGGCAACATGATGCTCAAATTAGTATCCATCTGCTATTAGAATTTATGGTATATTAAAAGGTGTCCCTCTGAAAACTCATTGTTTTCAAACAACCACTCATTTCCTTGTACTGGCCCTAAACCTAGACAGAGATTATATGGGGAAAGGAGAAATTATTGTATCAGTAACTTTGCTATCCTCTTGGACAACTGTTCTGAAAGTCTGATGGTAGGAGAACAAACATTTACTTTTACTTAATATCTACTGAGTTGTCTATCATTTCAGAGGCCATTGCAACAATGTATTTCGCTTTCTCTGTAATTGTGGGGGTGCATGGCACTAAAACAGAGTATGTCTAATAATGGGTAGTGCCTAAATAGGCCAAGCCCACATTTCCAATACTTAGAACCAAGCTCCTAAATTACAACGGCTTCACTCCCAGTAGTACTATTTTCAGCTGATGGTAAAATCTATTGGGGCAATGCCAAGAGGAGATTAGAGCACCTTGTTTTGCTCTGAAGATGAATAATAATTATGTAATTATATATTCACATGACTTATTTTAAATAAAATTAGGTTACATGGAAAGACAGATATGGTTATTAATTAACAAGGAAATAAGGAATCTAATTTACCGGTATGATAGAAGTTGTTTCATTATTGAAGACTATGTGCCCCAAACAACAGTCTATATATTTCCCATTGCTATTAGCCTTTTCTTCTGGAACTACTGTTATCTGTAGCCAAGTAACTCTTGAGAATGTCTTGACTGTCTGACTAAAATTCTGAAAGCAAGAAGGTTATATTTTCTTTGGACTAACAAATTATTAGTTGCTTTGCTGTTGCATTAAGAGATCTTGTGCATTTAAATGTATTTGGGCAGTTCTTCTGCTTTTTATAATTATAGGTCTAAATAAACTTATTTTCTTCTATTTGCATCCTGAGTATGTTTTATATCAAGTACGTCCCACAGAATCTTTATTGAAAAAGCTTTTGGCTATAGAATAGCCACTTATTCATCATTAAAAGTGGGGGGGGGGGCGAGCACAAAGAAGTACATTGACTTAGGTATAAATAGATGCATATTTAGAAGATTTATTTATATTATATGATTAGTTGTAAATATAAACTATATCATGAGTGGAGAGAGATTACAATGCTAAGATGTTTTTAAATTAGAAAAGAATAGAAAATGTATTGAGCAAGAAGTTTTTCTACTAATAATAGAATTTAAAGTAAGCCACTGAAACTAAATGTGAGGAAATTCAGGAGTGATTAAACAGAATTCTGCACCATCAAATAGTTATATCATTTAGATGAGTTTAAAAGGAACTACGTATTCATAAAATTAACAAATACGAATTGCTATTTCTACTGATAGGTCTGTTTCCTCAATCAAAAGTACTATATTTAAATATAAGAGGACTATTAAATTATTTCTACTTATGACCTTCAGCATGCATCTGTTTGACTAATGTAAGACCTAGAGACTCTATGCAGAATGAGATGGGAGGCATATAAATTAAATAAATAAATAAGATATAGAATGCTGAATTCAATAGTGTTCTGATTCCCCAGCTTTTCAAATGTATTTGTAATGTAATATGAAATGGCACAATTACTGATAAATCTACTTGCCTATCAACACACACACACACACATACACACACACAAAGACATAAATGTATATATAGACACATTGAAAACAGGACATAATTCAGTTAACTAAATCGTATTTTCATTTTAAATTTGTATCTTAACCACAGTTGTGTATGAAATATTAATTAATGTAAAATATCATTAACATCACTCAGTAAACTAAGATATCATGAACAACATTTCTGCCTATCTAAATATCCTTTATTAATCTTTTTACAGAATTTGCAAACTAGACAGTCTCACATTAACTACCATTCTGACTGAACCAAGAAACTGATTTTCAGTTTTGTTATCCAGATAATTAAAATTAAACAATATCCTGGATTGTTCTCAAATTGGTGAACATCATTTCCCTATTTAAAAACAATGGATGTTAATATTAATTATACACTTCCTATTTGATTATATCATAAAGAGGTATTTCATATCTCATTCGTATGTTGGCTTATTTGTATCACTACTTTGAGTTTCACCAGCAACAGTGATTATTTGTGACAAATTCAAAGCACAAGCATTTCATGAAAAACAAACATGCTTAGTTTGCAACTTACCTTTTTAATCCTGCTGTTCAAATTTATGTTGCTGGAATAGCAAATCAGTTTCGGTATTCTCTGCTGCCCTTTGAAAATTAGTGAGTATTGCTTTGGTTTATTTCAAGAAAAATATCAAAAATAAGACTAAATGGGTTTTTAATATTATTTTTAAAAAATAAAATAAGGAACATGAGGTATATTTTTTTCTTTTCATTTCTTTCAAGGTTCACATTATTTATTTCATCCATAGAATTAATGGGCGTATTCTACAGATGTGCTCAGAAAGTCTTTTCTAAAATGGTGAAGGACAGAACAAACAAAACGGATCCAAAAAAAAAACAGTTTCTGATAAAAAGATGCCAAGCTTGGATAGATGAAGACCAAAAAAAAAACTGTGTCCAAATGGCCGGAAACTTGTGTTTGTGATTTTGTCAATCATCCTTGTGTTTGGTATATTCTTAAAGGTGAGAATAGCAGTAGTACAAAAGGGGAACAGGAAAAAAAAATCCAGTGTGCTACAATAAATGCAATCTTTTTGCAGTGCAAAATTCACACTTGCAAACATTTGGATTTCCTTTTCATCTTGAACTATTCATACTATCGTTGTTTCTCTTTTTGTTAAATAATTAGATTACCGCATAGATTTCATGCTTTTTTGCCTTAATCTCAAATGTCTTTCTAATAATATATAGAATATAGAAATAAATATTTAAAACACTATTTGAGATAGGTACCTGCTGGTGTCCAATCCTTCCGATTTTGTGTTGTACCTGTGTATAATATATATATATATATATCTATATCTATACCTATATATATATATCTTAAAAGCTGAGAAAATTAGCACTCTTCTATTTAATTGTTTACTTTTAAAAAAGGACATCCACATTTCACATTTGCACTGTTAAGGAAATATTGAAAATAAACTTGTCCAAAAAAAAAAGATTTCAAAGAAGTTTTCTTTTTTAAAAAAATTAGTTTGTTGTGCTTTCAGTGTATTCGCCCCAAAGTGAAAATGGCTGGCTCTAAAAAAAACGCAGTTAACAACAATAAGAGTTAAAAGTAGCAGAAAGGGCAGAAAGTCATTCATAGAGTTTGTGTACTATAGTTATTTTAGCAACTGCCCTTTTTCTTTGCAGAGTGGGAGCTGCTGCTCCAGTTTGAGACAGGGTCTTCCGAATCATCCTCATCAAAACCATGAAAAGTTGAGGTGTCGCTTTCCGAAGTGGAACCGAACAAGTCCTCCGTGGGATATGCTGCAGCCGCTTCTTCCTTCCTGCTTTCTCTTCCCAAATGAGCTGACATGTATGATGAATATATCAGCACATGGGTTAAGTAACAAGCATCATGATTTATTTTATTAATATTACTTTAATCATAATTAGAAATGTCAGATAAAAGAATTATCTCAGTCATAAATATATATGTATATATGTCTGTGTATATATGCACACATACACATACACACATGTATTCAGGACAATAATGCAAAGCAATAAAAACAAAACATGAGTAGTAAGAAATTATAAACAACAATTGATATATATATATATATATATTAAAAAATCATATTTATACCACTCCAGATGCCCCCTATCTAAGGCAGCAAAAGGGTTAACCCTGTTTTCCTCTCTTTTGAAACACACAGAAAATATTTTTGTAATTATATAAGTAACTTTATCTTGAGCCCGAAGTTTATATCGTGTATCTATTAAAAGTGCAGGGTACAATGATTGTCTTTCATTTGATATCAACCGCTCTATTTTAGCATAATAACCCATTTCATAAGTTTTCCATTTTTTAAAAATAACCTCCTTGTATTCTCTTTCTGCACCAGTTCTCCTAAGTGGTGTGATTTCTTTGCAAATTAAAATAGAAAATACTTGGAACAATAAATACATATTGCAATAAATGTCTTTTTAAAAATGTCTTATGAGCATAAATAAAAAGTAAACATTTCAAAGCAGGAGGGGGGAGAGAGAGGGAAGAATTCTAATACAATTAATAATTTCTAATATATATCAGAAATATTATGATACAGGATCCTTTCCTTAAAGTTTGAAATATTTCTTTCCCCCATTCCTTGTTGATCAGTAGTTCTAATAATCATACAATATAACTACCGGTATATATAGAGAAAATAAATGTTGGTAAAAGAGTGTGTGTATTTACACATACAAACACACTCACATATACATATATATATATGTTTATATATTCATTAAACTATCATTAGAAAGCCATATATAAAATCGGACTTCTATGGCATATTTTGAAGATGGTATACAAATATGAGAACAAGAAGATAAGAAAAACATTTTTATATAAAAATAAGCATGAAAAGTAAAGCATGTTGGAAATTCTGCCTCAGGCTGGTAGTTCACAGGCAATGAATATGGTCACTATTAGTTATTGTCAAGAAAAATATCCAAAGGGAAGCTATGCTTTCCTGGTGTAGCAAATTAAAACCCCTTGTGGTATTTTAAAGATCCAAGCTTTCATGAACTTTCCTGAGATGAATGCATGTATCACACATATATATGGTTATACCGTAGATATAAAGAAATAGAAGGAGAAGCCCTCTAAATATTGGAGTCAACTGGCCATGGAACAAAAGCGATATGTTTGTGTGACATAGCATAAAACCCATTTTTTTAAAACTTTCAGGATCAACATGAAACTAAAACCACTCACTTTAGTTTTGACATTATTTGCCACTGCTTTTTATGCTGGCTGTAGCAAAGATTGTACCATATCTCTTTCATTGGCTGCCAGCATATAATTACTCTATTATCTCTAACAACCACAAAATCCTCAGAATGATGTCATGTCAAGAATGTCCATAACAAGGAATCAAAAAAGTCAAGGTGTTTTTTTTTTACAGCAGCACAAATTTCTGTCTTTTTTTTTTACATGCACTGCAATTTTGCCTTTTGCATATATGTATCTTTTTATCCTATTAGATAGCAGTTGGTACTGTAGGATAGCTATCTATATTAGTAAATACTACTTATGTTTATACAGTATAGTAGCATAGTATCATTGGATACCAAAAATATGTCTATATTATATTAGTCATAAGATTGACATTTGAAGGATTTATTACAGTAACATCCTAGTTTGGGGCTTTCCATTTGCATCTGTTTGGCTATTATTGTGTAGAGTGCTAAATTAGATGGATCTTTACTCAGAACCAGGATGTCTCTTTGCCAGGTTTTTATGCAAGACTATCACATATTGAGGAATTATAGATCCTGCAATACCATTCTGTAAATATATGCATGAATAAAATTGATTGCTGGATTAACAAAGTCTTAAATTTGCAAGTTTTTATCCTTTGGTTTCTATGTCTGATAAGCAGCCTGTTTTTGTATACCAATAGTTATTTCAGATGAGGGAAATCTCACACTACTCAAGGACAGGTTCAAGGTCTAGACCAGGGATAGGCAATCTCGACTCTTTTATGACTCATGGACTTCAATTCCCAGAATTCCTGAGTCAGCATTCTGGGAGTTGAAATCCATGAGTCATAAAAGAGCCGAGGTGGCCTACCCCTGATCTAGGGGAACAAAGTAACATTGTCCAAGTAGGGCTTTACAAAATTGATCACGTTGAAATGATGCTAATTGGAACAACTAATAAATGCTGTTAAATAAACAGATAAGTAATATGGCAACCAAAATCCTGAAATCAATGCAGCTAGAGACAATGTTTAGTGTGATTTATACTGGTGAAGAAAAAGAAACATGTATATGTATAAGCTAAAGGTGAGGTTTCCCCTGTCCAGTAGTGTTAGAGGCCATGTAACACATAGAAATCCCTTTCTTACATTTTGTGACTGCTATTTTGAAACATACATTCTGTAGCCATGTTTTTATAGTTATAGGCATAGATATACATGTGTGACACATACACACAGTTTGCTTACTAGAATAAGTTTATTTAGCTTTAATTTTATTAAATTTATTATGGTCACTCATTTCAAAAGTTTGGATGACTAAGGTTGAATTAATTTGATGAAGCTGATTCTTTAAAGTGCTACACAATTCTTTGTTGTCCCTTTAATAAGTATGAAAAATACAAACTAGTACTCTGCTGCTGTCAATGTATATTTAACAAAACAGGGGAAACTATTGAAGGATTTCTGATAATTTTTCAAAAAAAAAGCTTTGGCATTGTTTTTACAATAGACTCAAGTTAAAAATTTTCAGAAGGAAAAACAACAAAATCAGTTTTATATTGTGTATATGCAGTGCATACACTTATTATCCCTATCCATATGCATATTTAAGACAAAAAAATCCTGTCATAAATAACATCACTGGAAACTTAAGAAATAAAATAAGAAATAAAAACCGTGTCATAGGAGGGCTACATCTATATATTTTTAAAATATGGGGTTTTAATTTAAGCCTTAAAATATTTTTTTAAATGGTTTTAAAACATATAAATCATAGTCAATGCTTTTACAAACTTCAGCTTCTTTGTTAAAATACACCATTCAACTTACTCATAAAGTAATAAGATGGGATAAAAATCTAATAAATAAATAAAAATATCCAAACACAGTTTCTAAGGGATAACAAGTACTTATGATGTAGCAAGTAATTTATATAAAGCACACACTCATAAATACAAGCATAAATATTAAATGGAGAAATCAAAAACTGCTTAAAAGTTACATTCTAAAAAATATTAGAGAGCCATCTTCAACCTTATCCCATAATCTGAGGTGTGCTTGTTTGTGTGCATGTATGAGAAAGAGAAAGACAAAGAGAGACAAAGATAGAGACAGAAGGACTGACCAATTGTATTGGTCATAATCCAGGTTGTAGAAAATTTGAGTGGCACATTATTGAATACTAAATATAATATGCGGAAAAGAGAAAAACTCTCTTTTAATGTTGTCTTCATTTAAATGAGACCAAATGTCTTTTTACAAGACTTTCCACTTTTGTATTCGTCCATTAGTTTTAAAATGTGCATTCAGTCATATATTGTAAAGCATAATCCACTCAAAAATGCCTTAATTTTATCTCTATAGACATCCAGATACGAAAAGAGTGTTGTTGTTGCTTAATGCTCACTGCTAGCTGCAATAAGGTATCACCTACCAGAACGCCCACAATCCGAACATGAGACAAGCTCCTCTGGTCTTCCGCTTTTTTTATTCATATTAGATCCTCCAAGGCAGAAATCACAGTAGTTATTGGAAATGATGGCCCCGTCTGGTCCTTTTTGGGCTGTAGGTAGAAGCGTAATATTTTAAATTGAGAGAAACTCCACGTGTCTTTTATTGTTATTAATTTACTTGTATTTGGACACCGTATTTATCAACTGAAAATTTAAACTGGTCAAAGCCAAAGGATCACAGGTTTTCTGACACTCAATTGTGTTGAATGCAGCTACTATGGAGCCAGAGATTATTGTCTCTGGTAATACTCTTTAATACTATATATTTTCCAAGATAAGGAAACAAAGTAATCTATAGAGCGCCTATGAATTGCTACTCAAAAATCACCTGCGGCTGTTTGTTTTATTCTTTTAATTTAAAAACAGGCTTTGGACCAACATCCCCACTTTTTTAAATGAGGCCTTCTAGAAATGTTCAGAGACAAAGGCAAGAGTTTCTTTTCTGATTTGCCTTCTTCCTTCCCTTTCTGTTCCCATGCCAAACAATAAATGCTAAACTGTCTCTGGGCTGTGCTAATTCCTGAAGATGTCTCTCACACACACACACACACACACACACACACACACACACACATCCTCTAGCATTGAGCACCATAACACTCTTTTGAATTTAATGCTCTGGGTAACATTTCACCAGAAACCCAGAAAAAACTGTTATCAGTGACATGAAGAAACTATACACTAGAACTTGCAAATGAAGACAGGGAAGCATTTTATACTCTAATGTCATCCGCAACATGAAATCAGTTTATCTACTTCTGGTGTGACTCGCCTACCTGCCAGCAGAGATTTTTCTGTTGGCACGAAGACCAAACGGCACACAACACAATGAGTACTGGGGTTGGTGTGTTTTCCTTGCAAAAGAAAAACAAAAAGCTTTTGTTTGACGCCTAAACTGTGCAGGAGCCCAGTTTTGAACGATTCCAATCTCTGGGCAGGATTTGGCTTCCCCATTTTCATATCTTTCCAGCCTTCATCCCTCAGAGGGACAGCTGACATACAATCTGAACCTACAGGGTAAATGGCATTGAGTTTCCCCTCGTGCGCCTTTTCCCCCCTACTGCTGACAGAGCTCATCTCTCCGCGGGCTGACATGTTTCCATGACAACCAAAATTCCAGGCTCTGGCTGCCTCTGATCTGGCCACCTGTTATTACTCCATTTCTCAAGTGTAAAGAACTGATTTGTGACCTTTCCCCCCCCTCCTCCTCCCTGCCTCCCTCCCTGCCTCCCTCCCTCCCTCCCTCTCTCTTTTCAAAAGGCATAGATGGGTTTGAGAAATTAAAAGTACCACATCAAATAAACAGGAAGAGCAGAACAACACCAGCAGCTGAGAGAGGCACATTCCTGGAAGCGCCATGTGCCTAGAGAAGAAACGATTCAATCCCTGTTGGAAATGAGTCCACTTCCGGCTGGCTTTCTCCCAACGTTTAATGAGAAATGAAGAAAGTCATTGGGGTGGGATTCAAAGAGAATGGCTCACTGCACAGACTGCACATTGTTTTGCCCAGGACAGAGGTGTGGACTGAAGCAAAATACAGCAGGTAGCATAAATCTCCCAGAATGCTAAAGGACAAGCCAGATGGAGCTTATGTTAAAAAAAAAAAGTTCAGACATTTCCCCTTTATTCAAAAGGATTTTTGTACTGTCCTCTGCTTCCATTGTTTCTCTACTCTTGTTTCTAAGCCTTTTTGATAGCCTGACTTTGTATGTGACAGGAAAATGCTAATATCACTACCACCTCAACCAAGATGCCTTATCATTGCTCTAAAGCCAGGTGTCTGCCTGTCACTACAGGGGAAAGCCTTTCTCTGCCAGCTAATGTAGAAAAAAATGATTTCCATTTATGGAGCAAATTGGAAACTGCACAGCTCAGGGTATTAGGGGGATACATAGTAACATGAATTGCAATTTAAACTGCAGGGGGGGAAATAGCACTTGCAATGTTCCTTTCTTTTTCAAGAGAAAAAGAGAATGCTATGCAAGTAAAAACCTGGCAGGTGAAATATTCTAGATAAACTCACCATTTTGTTCCAAAGTTATTCAATGATTTGCATTTGTTTCTAAACAAGAGTTTAAACCACAGGGGAGAGCAAATCTAGCACCTGTCTGTAACTCTTTGAAGCAACTGTGTCATCACTATGCAACACTGAGAAAAGATGAAGCTGGTTAGACAGGTGCTAAATTTTATTTGTTTGTTTACTTACTCATTTCACTTATATACTACCTAATTGGACCTGTGGCATTTTACAAGAACAACCAACAATGTATAATTTAATTTGCAATCCCCTTGAGCATTCTCCTAAGCATCTTTCTGGAATCAAGTCTAAAGCTTTATACAGCCCCAACCTGTTCTGTTTGCAATGAATTTTAGTACATGCCTCATCAGTACTGCCAATAGGTCAGCATGACTCAACCCTAGTAAAATCATTGGGAGTAATCTTCAGAATCTGACCTACAGTCTGTGTTTTAATTATGACAAAAGAGGGGTCATTCCATGTCAAGTGGTCTGATTTCAGAAAAGTGCCCTGCTCTTGACCATCACGGATTTTGATGAAATTTTGTGTGAATATGCACACATGTCCCCAGTGAACATTAGTAAAGTTTTATGTTTGTCAATGCAATACTTGTGGAGATACAGTCATTTGTTTGACCCCATACCGCAGCCTTCTACCGTATGACTATGAAATTCCAGCAACTTTGAGACATAGTATCTCCGGCAATATTTTATTGAGAGAAATAAAATTTGGCCATCTTGTACAACTTTTTGTACTCTATTAAACAAAATAATAAACACATTCTCATGAGCGATCTCCATCTAGATAATCTGGAGCAAAGTTGGCCAAAAATATCGCGGCTCAAAAAAAAGTTCAAAGTTTACCAATGTTCACTGGGGACATGTGTGCATGTTCACACAAAATTTCATCAAAATCCATGATGGTCGAGCAGGGACCCCCAGACCACTTGACATGGAATGACCCAGAGGGAATTTACTAAGAATATGTAAACCATATTTATTTAATGTGTGTTAATGTTGATTAAATTTAAATGTAATTAAACGTAGTTTTTGTCCTGGTCCTGCCTTCATTTGGAATGTTATTTAAAGGCAGGGATGCTTGTCAGCTCTGTTGCTAGATAATTTTTTAAAAATACTAAGTACAATTTATAAAAATAAAAATTTAAAAAACAAAATAATACATGAGCTCCTGCAACGAAATACACATCTTGCCAGCCACCCATTTATATAATACTAAAGAAAACAGTGCAGGAGGCTGTGAGGTACAATTTAATTAAGCTCTGGCACCCCCATGTCATTCAAATATTGAACCTAGGCCTCTTTGCTACTACCTTGAGCACTTATCATCTTCTAGCTGGTATACTAGTTATGGATAATTGGAGTACCAGTCTAACTTGTCTGGACAGTACTAAGTTGAGTAATATTGCTGTTCACCTGACAATATTAATCTAAATCAGTGGTTCTCAACCTGTGGGTCGGGACCCCATTTGGGGTCGAACGACCATTTCACGGGGGTCGCCAAACAACGCAGTCTGCCATTTTTCCCCCCTTTTCCTTAGCTGTGCTACTCCCTTTTATTCTATTGGCTTTTGAAAGCCAATAGAATAGCCTCTCTTGAATAGAGTCTAATTCTATTGGCTTTCAAAAGCCAATAGGAATTGTCCAGGCTGTCTCTGCCCTGCTGAGCCCGCCAAAAGTCCCATTCTGCAAACGGTGCTGCACCAGTTGAGTAGTCCTCGACTTATGACCGGTTGGGGGTCGCGGCATTAAAAAGGTTGAGAACCACTGATCTAAATAACTGGCTAAGTCAATCTAAATCTCAAAATTGCTCTACATGTTCTATTACAAAATCTGATCCTATTCTGATAGTATCAGGGACATTTGATAAAAAGATGATATTTTTATATGTCATTAAGAACTAATTTAATTGAATGGCTAAGGCACCGGGTTAGAAATCAGGAGATTGTGAGTTCTAATCCCATTTTAAAGCATGAAAACTGGCTGGGTGATTTTGGTCAGTCACTCTCCCTCAGCCCATGATGTCAGGCTCAAATGACAAGGCTATTGTTGTTGTTGGAGGAGGAGGAGGAGGAGGAGGAGGAGGAGGAGGAGGAGGAGGAGGAGGAGGAAGAGGAGATTAGTTGTTTCTGATAAGAACAGAAGAATTTGTGAGGGGAAAGAAAAAGAAGAGAGTCAAACAGTGCAACAAATAAGGAAAAGAGAAGACTTGAAGTGAGTTCAAAAATAGGGCAGCTCTACAATTCCATGGATCTGAACTGAAAAAGTTTATTTCCACATATAGACAAAATATTAGCATCTATTCTACCATATCAAAACTCTGTTATCTCATTCTTCTGCCTGTGCTTAAAATACAGTTTGAATCTTGGCAGGAAAGAGGCAGAAGATATTTGAAAAGGAGAAGATTTCAGAAGACAACATTCTTCTACTATGATCCAATAATATGGTAAAGATTATGATAGATGAGAATGCAAATGACTTGGAAATTCCAATAATGAAAGTCAGGGAGCATAGTGAATATTAAGAAGACTAAACTAAAGATAATAGGTACGGTTGCTAGCATGACATTATTGAGGTCATGGATAGCTTCGGCCTTTTAGAATCGACTATAAGCAATAAAGGAACCAACAGTCAAGACATACGCCACAGACATATTGGCTATACTTGGTGGAACACCAAGGCCTTATGTAAAGGCTGTTAGACAAAAAAAAAAAAAATAACAATCAGACAAAAGCTATCTCAGTGCATAGAAGGAATGGAGGTGTATGTTTCAGAAGGGACTTTCTCTAGTTCTTTGTAAAGGCAAGGGAGGGGAGAAATTCTTTTAGGCTTGCAAGATTGGTATCAGCCCTTTGAGATAGACTAGACAAGAAACCAAAACCATGTGTACTAGCACTACCATTATTGTAAAATTACAATAACAGAATATTGTCCATTGAACAATTGGGGATGGGGTTGCTTATGTTTCTCATCTCTCCTTATGAAAGACATTAATGCCAATGTGGTAAGTAACTAT